TTTTTTGAAACCCTAACCTATTTATGGCATTAAAAGGTTGAGAATCTATTATTAACCATTCTGTAACAGCATATAATCGACCTTTTTAGCAGTTGTATTGTTATACTAAATTAAGTAGCTAATTAAATATGCTTGTTCATATGTACGATATTTGATTATCTGTATGACTAATTAGGTTTGATGGCTGCATTCCTGAATCTAACCAGATTGTTTTTGGCATATCCTTGCTTATTGACTTATGTCAATTCGAATATGACAGCAATAGTGTATAACTATGCTATCTAGCTTTAACCGCTATTAGATTGAATGCCACCAGTTTCTAATAAGCATAGTAATTGATAAGGTCTTAAAAAAAATTGGTATGGCTATGCTACTTTATTATGGAAACAGGTTTTCCTTTTTTATTAAATAGAGATCATGCTTTTTATACGTTTTGATTAATATAAAAAGTTACTATCTTATATAAGAGGAATCATATATCATGTTAGTATTAGTATGCATACCTCTTTATACAGTTGGCTTTAATCATGATACTAATATAGTTAGATGCTTAATTATGCTTAAAAAGGAAAAATCATAAAATCAATTCATTACAATAGTAATACATATAAGAATTACATAATTACATATAAGCATATATTTATAAATGCAGTATACAGATATGCATTTATTAAACAGTATCTTTCAATATGTCAAGTTCAAAGAAGCGTAATAACCAAACAACACTCTCTCAATCAAATAAAAAAAATCATAATGATGATTCTAACCTACATTTTGAAGAACCTCAATGGATTGATCTTGGATACAATAAGACTAGTTGGGTTTGGAAGTATTTTGGGGTAAAGACCGATGGTCGTGCTTACTGCAGACATAAAGATAAAGATGAAGATGAAGAATGCGGATGGAGTTGTGTATATAATTCTCAAACTAGTAGTATGGGCCATCACTTAAATAGTGTTCATAAAAAATATGAAGAAAAATTGGTAAAATTTATGCATTAATGAATTAGCATATATTAAAAAGCAAAAATAAGTTTATGTTGTTGTATT